AGCTTGCGTAAGCCAAAATAATTACAGCTTAATAGACCAATAAAAAGCACCTCAAATCAAAAAGTTATAATTTTATAATTTCAATGCAAAATAAAGAGAAATCCATTGGCGATTTAAAATTTTATATTTAAATTACAATATAATTACACTAAAAACCGCTGTCCTCGTCTTCTCCGGGATGACCCTCACAGGTTGGGTTGGGTTGGCCGTTTTTGTCTGTGGTTTTCAATTGATAAAGTACATATAACAAAAAAGCATTATAACAAATAAATGTTGGTTATCAAACACCAACTGCTTCTTACCCTAAGTGACACGGTGTTATCAAAAATTTGAATACTATTGAAATTAAAAATTAATATAATTAAAATACTAACCTGTCCTTATTCTTGGGAAAACAAAATAATTTTCCAACTTCATCTTCGCTACATCCACACACAATGCAAAACATTTTTACAATAATTATTCTCGAAAATTATTCGTAAAAAATACAACGCAAAAATAGATAATAAGCACAAATAAGACAATAAACGCAAAAGGACTGTGTGACATGTGACATACATAAAATGTCAAAACCGCTTAAACAAAGTCAACAGCTTTCTGTAATATTACTAACGACATGTACGCCATCTACTAAGGATTTCTATCAAGATGACAAAGAGAAAATATCGGTATTATGATGTGATAATAAGAGATAGAGAATGGCCTATCATTTTCCCGGTGAGCTAACTCTCTGCCTTACTCTGTGGTTTTAAGCACAAATGATTCTATTCACTTTTTCGAATTCCAAACGGTTGTTGAGATATCGAGGTTTGAAGTTGACAGATCGTATGAATAGGATGCTAAACAGTACAACACATTGCTAGGTTGGCTATGGAAAAATTGCAGTTTATTTTAATAAAAGCTTAATGACACTGCAATTATTAAAGCTGCTCAATGTGACCACCGCCTTGTGCAATGCATAATTCAATCCTTTGTCGGAGCTCTCGTTTCCAGTTGTAGTTCTCCATATTGTTTTTTACCTCTCGAAACGCTGCATGAATGTTTTGTATAAGTTGGTCTCTATTATTAGGCTTTCCCGTTGAATACGTAAGTGTCTTCACATGTCCCCACATGAAAAAATCTAGTGGGGAGAGATCCGGAGATCGCGGTAGCCAAGCAATGGGACCACCACGACTATATCCACAACCTATCCATACATTTGGATTCTGTTCATTGAGGAAATTCGTGACAATTTTTGCATAATGGACGGGAGCACCATCATGTAAAATAGTATATTATTATATGAGCATATAATGAGGGCTATTATTATTGACGAAGGTTAAGTTTATGTCACGAGCTTAGCGAGTGTCATAATTAACCTAAGTGAATAATAGCTCATTATATGCGAGTAGAATACTATACTTTGTCCACGACTATTGAAATTGATTCCATAAATTTATTTTTTAAATACATTTTTGAATAAAGGTTAAACGTCAATGTGACACAAATTCAATGTTACTAACTGTAACCAACTTCACAACAATTTGTCAAAATTAAGTGTCAGTTTTATAAAACGTCGTTTTCTTTACGAAAATTAATTCATTTATGCTTAAATCATACAAAAAAAGGAATTTGTTTAGGTTTTTTTAATGTCAAACATTTAGAAACTCCTAAAAAATTGAATTAAATTGACGTTTTTTTGAACTTTTAACGTTTCAAATAATTATTATTAGTCTGGTCAAGATGGCTACCCGTGAATAATGATTATTAGTCACCGCTATTATTCACTCCGTGAAAAATGACTACCATTTTGTTTTAGAAAACTCATTCATAAGGTATATATTATAAGGTAGTAGTGGACAAAGAACATTGTTCTTCTAATTTAAATAGGAATGTCATCAAGTAATAGAGGTAGATCGTTCTCCAAAAAAGCCTGGTACATTTCGCTGTTCAAATTTCCGTCGAAAAAATTACAGAGAATGTACTCTGGAAATGGGTTTCTCGAACAGCATGAGGGTTTTCGAATCTCCACACATGTTCGTTATGAAAATTGTTGATTCCATCTCTAGTAAATGTAACTTCGTCACAACAAAGAGTTCTTGAAAGAGTATCCAGATGATTTCTCCACCATTCACAAAGGCGAACTCTTTGGGGAAGATCCTCGGGAAGAAGTTGTTGTAATGGATAGGGATGCAGTCCGTTTTCCCCATATATATACTATCTCCTATATCGCTGACTA